GCCCCCAGCATGAATGAATGAAAAGAGATAGAGGCCTCAGACTGGACACTGAAAAACTGTGAATGGTGGTGCTGAAATGGGGTGTCCTAGAGAAAAAACAAGTTCAGAATGGGGTGAATAAAGAGTTTGATTTTGAATGTAAGGAAGGCTGAGATTATTTGAGAGATGGATCCAAGTGAAAAAGTCTGTGAGCAGTAGGATAGATAAAGTTTAGAGCCTGGACCATATCTGTTTTATTTGCTTGTATCCCCAGTCCGTAACACAGTGCTTATGTTAATACCTAGCAAGTGCTCAGCAAGTAATTGTGGAACAAATAAGAGAACATAGGAGCATTCAACGGTCTGGACTGAAATTCTCCACCCTTGCTGTGCCCAGGAGGCCTTTCTGTAGGTGTCTGCTAGGATAAATTTCTGACTGTACACAGACTTATTCATTAAAAATCGCTGAGTTATGTGTTCACAACTTGGTCATATATTTATTTAAGTGACAGATGAAGGTTTGGAGGGAGTTATTGCAAATACTTTGTTTATTGAGCTGGACAGAAAGATTGCCATTATCAATATTTCCCACATGCCAGAGTCACCACACTACTAGGTAATAAATTGATAAATATGAACACACTGGGCTGCCCACTATGTGTCATGCTCCATGTGGGAACTTTAAGTGTATTATTTTATTCCTTAAAACAGCTTTATAAGTCATAGGTAGTGACAGTAGAGAAACTGAGGCTCAAGAAGTTAAGTAACTAGTCAAGAGCATATGTTTAGCAAGTGGCAGAGTCAGGATTTGAACCCAGGTCTGACTCCATTTCCTGTGCTCTTAACTACCATGCTATACACAGAAATGAGTCTCTTCTCTAGGTGATGGCACCAGGGCCATTAGAGCCATTTGAGATTTTCCTTCCCTCCCTTTCCTGTTAGTCTTTTTATGTGTATATAATTGAACATTCTACATAGTTGTAATAATTTCAGTGGTTTTTCCTCCATAAAAAAAGTGACATGCCAGTACTCACATCTTGATGAACTGTAAAAATGCCTCTTTCATTCTTACTCCTTACTGAGCCTTCTCCACTTGTCTTGAATTTCAGTCCCTGATACATGTGCATTGCTTAGAAAGCCCCATTTGGTTAACAGTATCAGTGTGATAAGCAAGAGAAAGAAAGAAAAGCTTTTATTACTCTTCCTCTTGTCATTAAAACACACATCATTAATAATATCCTTTGCCCTGGCTGGTGTGGCTTGGTTGGTTGGAGTGTTTTCCCGTACACCAAAAGGTTGCAGGTTTGATTTCTGGGCAGGGCACATACCTAGGTTGTGGGTTCAATTTCCAGGTGGGGCAGGTACAGGAGGCAACCGATCGATGTTTCTCTCTCACGTCGACGTTTCTCTCTCTCTTTCTTCCTTTCTCTCTCAGATCAATTTTAAAAATATATATCCTCATGTGAGGATAAAAAATAACAATACCCTTTATTTGTGTGTGTTTTTATGGGTACAATGATTCAGTCTACACGTTCATATATTCATTCATTCAACAAATATTTGTTAAGTGCCTTCTAAGTGCCAGCCATATTCTTCAGTGAGGATGTGAGAAAATAGAATCCTGCTCTTTAGGAGAACATAGGTGCATAGCTAAGGAAAGGAGCATGTGATAGGGTTATATGTGGAAATACCAACCAAGTTCTGTGATACCACAGAGGATTCAGTGCAAGCTTTTTCTAGATGAGAAAACGGAGCTCAGAGAGATTTGGTCACACTGCTGGTTAATGGTTGAGTTAGCATTAAAACCAGATCTGACTGCAAAGCCTCTCTTCATTCCACCAAACTATGTCATAGGAGGCGCCCCTGTTTTCACTGTTTTATAAGTTCCAGATGTCTATATTTGGGGAATTCCTGAGTCAGGGACCACAGCTGCCCCTTTTTTCTCTCCCCACTTCAAAATCCCACCAGTTTCTGATTTGATCAAAGAGTAATGGAACAGAAGCAAGGAGACCTAAGTTCTTTAGAACTGGCTTTGCCATTTAACTGGGTGATCGTGGGCATGTTGTTCCTCTTTTCTAGGCATCTATTTCCCATCTGTAAAAGCAAGGAGGTTGGAATAAATCTCTCTAAGGTTCTAACTTTCTATAATGTGTCGTGGTTTCCTCCTTTTCAGAGTATGTAGCATTTCCATAGGAACACACCATGGCTTTGGCAGAGAGATAGGTGGGGGTCAAGAGTGAGGGTTCTTGCTTACCTGGGTTTGAATCTCAGCTCTGTCACTTACATGCTGTTTAATCTTGAGCAAACTGCTTAACCTCATTGAGCTTCGGTTTTCTAATTTGTAAAATAGGCATAATAACGTGACTAAGCTGATACAAAGAATCAGTGAGCTTATGTGTCTAAACCATTTGCACAGTGTCTGGCACATAGCTCTCAATGAATGTAGCTAATGATACTAATGGTTATTGTACTAATTTGGAGTCTTGAAGCAGTTTTAGAAGTCAAAATACCACAGTAGCTTCTTTTATTAATCATTCCTGTATAAAGGTATAAAGGAACTAATTTGTCCATGCACAGAACTTTAGTCATTTCTTTCTTAGGCATTCAGTTAAGAGGTTTTAGGGGTTGGAGCACTGTTTGCTGCTAAAGTTTACTGATGGCCCAGAAAAGACTTCCCTTATTTGGTATAGTACAGAATGAATCATTCATTCTTTTCCTTGCTGTGTTCCCAGTGCTCAGGAGGCAGCAGCACTGGGGAGGCACTATGCCAATGATTTTTGGATGAGTAAACGATTTCACACTTTGTGTTAGGACTGGGGAGAAGCACAGCACTTGGCAGTGAGTCTTTGGGCTCTCAGATCTTAGCCTGTGACATTTGTCGAGTTTGTTTTAAGGGGATTTGGGGGCATCCCATGACAATCAAAGCAGAATTCTTCTGATACCAATGTTGGCTTTCCGCTTTGATCAATAGGCTTATTATTTGGCCTTGAAACCTCTGCGATGCTGGGGAGTCACAGACATTCTTCAGGATGATTTACATGGCAGTAAATAATCTGTGCTGTCCATTGCTTGCTTCATCAGTGTCTGCCCTGGTCAGAATACCTCAGAGACTCGGCGGCCCCAAGGCTGGGGCACGGTGGACATGTTAACTCCTGCTACAGATGTGTGCACATAGAATATGTCACTCAGTTTCATTGTTGCTTTCTGGCTCTATTATGCATCCACAATTTATCTTTAAGGATTGACATAACTGTCAAAGTTATTTTCCATCTGACTTTATTATAGTTACCATACCATTTATTTTTTTTTTACCTCTGTTCTATGCTCAGCACTATATATTATCTCACCTAATCTTTGCAACCACCCCTGAGTTAGGTGATTATACCCTTCCCTTTTTATAGAAGTAGAAATTGAAAACTCAAAGTGAAGCTTATTCTCTGAAATCACATAGCCCATGTGTGATGGAGCTAGGGTTGAACTCAAGTCTTTGTGCACACAAAGCTCTTAGGTACTATACCATGACATTTTCTTCATCTAAACAGCTTTCTTCTTCTTCTACAAGTGTTTTGTGTTTAAGTTAGTAACGTCTTGCAAAGATCTATAAGTTTCCCATACCATTCAGAGATGAATTTTAAATTTCTTAACAGCATTGCAAATACATGAAATTTATAGTGACAAACATGGCCAGATTACTTTCTTGTTATCCATCCATTTAGCAGATTTACAGTTCCCATTAATTTTAATCTGTCCTTATTACCTGTTTTATATAATAAATATCTCTTAATCGTGACAGACTGAGTATAGATCACCTGAAGTAGGCTCTCTCTCAGTAAGCAGAATTGCAGCAAAAGATTTGTGAATTAATTGGGAAAATTGCAAATCAGGTAGTCAGTGAAATAATTCATTGTCACATCCAATCAATAAACTTTGTAAATCAACTCATTTAATTCAAAAAATGATCTATATAGATCAAGCAACCAATTAAACAATTAGCATACACTTTGCAATTAATTAATTTAAGCATCAATCATATAATTAAAACTCCAAATTTAAGCTGCAGAATTTAGAATCCCACCACCTTGCAAACTATCAGGTTCATGCTTCTGAATACTAGCAGATTTGCAGTCTCACAATTCAGCTTTGGAGCAGGGTATCTAAAGTATTTTGAGTTGATTTCAGTTTTAAATTGTCTTTCTGATGATAGTTTCCTACCCTTTTCCAGCAAACTGACTTTTTACTTCCCCAAAGAAGAAAGAGGTGCATGTTGCTGTAAACTGGTCGAGGCTGCAGCCTGGGCATTCTTATGGGGCCTTTTAGGGAAGTGAGAAGAGTCCATAAGCAGTTGATCAGGATAAATCAGCTCATTTGCTTTACTCTCTTAAGTATCCTTGGTTTCTGGAATCAGATCCTGCCAAGTGAGGCTGATTTTCTTCAGAGAAAGGAGAACTGTATTGATTGTCTTTGTTACCCTGAGTATTTCTCCTGACCTAGAGCAGATATTTTCTTAATCCTGACCATAAATCTAAGTCCACTGACTTCCCCTGAATATTTTTTCTCCTTTATAGTTTTACGTATCTCTTTTATGATATTTATTTTATTTCATTTATATTATAGCTAATATAGTGCTTACTTTTCCCCCCTGCTAATTGTAATCTACCTTGAGGACTGTTACTAAATCTCATCATTGATCTAAGGGGTTATGTGTCTTATTTACAAAAGGTGCTCAGTAAATATTTGTTGGAAGAATAGGCAAGTATAAAGGCTCTTGTTTCACATT